TTTTATATCTAAACTCATAATCTTGTTTCTAATTTTCATTATTCATATTGCCTATGAAATTATTTTCAAGTTTAATTGATTTTAAATTTTCATTATTCATATTGCCTAAATGAATATATTCGAAGTTTAATAAAGATTTTTATTTAACTTACTTATGTCGAGCAAAATCTTATGCTAAGATTTGATGTAGCTATAAATATATATCCAATTTTATAATATTAATTAACTGGTATTCGCTCGGTTCAAAAGGTAAAATTTATTATCGCACTAATTAGCTGCTTAAAGATAGAGTTTCCTAAATATGGACTTGATTTATTTCATTAATCCAAATATGGGAGAAAGGGGTATTTTGAATATGAAAATATGCATTCAATTTAAAAATAAAGACATGGGATATAGAATAAATCGCAATGCATAAGCTATTTTAGATTAAACTTCAAGTAGGAGAAGGTTTTCATATGGTTTAACAACGACGTTCAATTATAGGAATTCATAAAAACAAAACCGTAAAACATAATGAAAATTAGATCGGATTAAAATAGCTATTAATAACATGACAGACGCTATAGTAACGTTTAGGAGTTCGTTCTTCTTCTAACTTGATCCAATAAAAATTAATTAATCAGATTCATATTAGAAAACTAAATTAGGAGTATGAATGAAGTGAATCACAATCTACGCAGCTTATAATTCCTATAGATTTCTTTATAGATCTTGGTTCTGATTTCTTATTGCTTCAGTTAAATTGTCTTTTATTTTTCAATCTTATTCTCTTTCTATGTCATTGAAATAATAGTAAAAGGATTTAACAAAATTTTGGTATTAGGTATACAAACTTAGTGGGGACGGATATCATACTCGCTCCTTTCTTACTTATTTGCGATTCAAAGTGCGTGCGATTGAGAGAATTTGCCTATTGAAGTTCTTTAGTCGTCCGTTCCGCTAAGCCACGGGGGATTGGCGATTTACCAATATCAAATAATATAAATTAAATACCATATTTTAATAATTAACCATATATTATTTCTGTACTTTAATTTCTCTTACCAGAGAAACTTTCAGGTGTATTTATGCAAAGAAGATCTCATTATTTTGGCACTTTGATTTCTTATTAACACCAGAAAATTTGAAAGGAAATGCGAAGAAACAAGGCCATTATATTGGAAGTTCACACCGAAAGATAAAGGCCAACTATAATGGATAAATAAAACGTCCGGAATGTCGCGAGGGTCGCAAGACCATGAGTCCGAGAATAGATATATATCGGAGTCCGAAAACTCTTGAAAAAATGAAAAGAACCCCCCCCCGTTAAATTACCCCCCCTGTTTGGAAAAAAAAAAGAGTGAAAGGCCAAGGGCCAGCCGCCTCGCATACACGGCTGCTTCCGGCCAAAGCCGGACAATAGTGCACTGCCGCCACCTGGCCACGCAAGCAGAGAAAAAGCAAGACGGACCATATATGAAACACCCGGCTACCTGCCGCCGGCCCGCTAAAAAACAACTAAACAACTAAGGAAAACAGTCATATGTAAAAAAAAACTATATAATAAGCTAAACTAAAAATGGAATCCGTAGCACCTGCGCCCTAGGCCCGTTTTTGCGCAGGCTATAAAGACCCATTACATCTTCATTTTTGCCCACTCCTGGGTCTTGTGTTGGACGGACGATGCTTCTCCTCACAATAAGCTATTTGCGATTCTTTTACCTGCTTTTAGACATTTTTAATTCAAGTTTTATATATTTTCTTTATATTAGTGTGTAGTGTGATACTTGAAGCCCACTAAAATTAAACAATGTCTAATTAATTAATTAATATTCCAAGCGAGTAGTGCTAATCTGGAGTTAAGAAGTGGTTCGTTCGATTTATTATAGGTAATTCACGAAATCTGTTCTATTAATTTTAGCACTTCAATGGCATGCTTATACTCTAATACTCCTAAAGATCAGCTAACTGCATAAAGTGAATTCATAATCATCATTTAAACAAATAAAACTTGCTCGCACGATATCAAATAATGAATTAAGCTAATATCCCGATATTAAATTGATAATCGTGGTTATTAATGCAAATACGACAGATATCTTGCATAGAAAGCCTAGTTAATTAATAATCTACAGGTGTTTAAATTGGCCTTAGATTTCGAACATCCGGCTTAAGTCTTAAAAAAAGACAACAATAATAAATAATTGTGGGCTAAAAAACCTATAATCAATCACGTTTTTTGGCACAAAATTGCTACATAATGAAATAAAAAGTACATTAGGCAACATGAATTGCCCCAGTTAATCCAATTTGTGCCAAAACAAATTGACCATATAAATTAGAGTTAAACCAACTGTCATAGCCGCACAAATCGGCATTAACGTACTATTTTGGTGGCAAATGTCTTTAAAATTAATCATATCTTTTGCCTCAAAGGCCTTAAACATCAATCAATTAGCGCGCCAATCGCGCTATCAAACACTTTTGGCAAACAAATGCCCTAAATCAACCAAACTTTGCTAAAGAAGCCTTTAACTCAATTAATTTCTCGGGGCACGACAACCAACCCCTAAATGCAAACACGATTATGCCAAACGTAAGCTAAAAACTCATTTTTGGACAAGGCCATTAATCATCAATATATCGGCAGACAATCAGTACCAATCAAACACTTTTGGCAAACAAATTGACCATATAACCAACTCATTTTGGCTAGCCTTTAATCGATCAAGTTTCGGAAAATGCCTAGTTAAAATCCTGAAGCCATCTTTCGGCTCAAAGGTCACTAAAATCGACCATTCTCCTTGGCAAAAATGCATAAATTAAGAACCAAACTTGGATAAAAGCCTAAAACAATCATTGGTCGACAATCGCCCGACAAAAATCAATTCGGCATCAGAAGCCCGAAATCAATTTTGGCAAAATAAGCCCAAATCAACTTTGGGGCACATCGCCCGACACACCATTTTTGCACAAAATGCCTTAAAAAACCTAACATTTTTGGCGACGAAACGGGCCTAATCGAGATCAACTCGATCCTTTGGCAAAATGCCTAGACAAACATGCCACAAAGATACACAACACACTCATGGCATTAAGCACTACACATCTAAAGCCCAAGAGCATATGAACTACGTTGACTTGATCTTCCATTCAAACGGAAGTACGTAGGACGTTTGGATCCTAACCCCGAGCGGCAAGTCGAATCACTAACTTTATTGGTCCCAATTTACATTATACCCTGCAAAACATTCATCCATAAGGTTTAGTTGATCAGCAGACATGGTCCTCGGTGATCCACCTCGTAGTTTCGTAGATTGTGCCTTAACATTGGGTTTAAACTATCTAGGAAGAGTTGGTTAATTAAAATGGGTCAGCTTAGGGTTTTCCTAGTTTACCCTAAAATAACTTAAAACAAAGGTGGCGACTCATCAATCAAAAAATGGCACATCTGCCCTGAGATCACAATGCATTCACATGCCTACCGATGTTCGAGATTGGTAGAGGAGTTTTCACAGGTAGAGTACAGAAATACTCGAATTCAGACATACTATCTCAACACTAAATAGAGAAAAAGGTCGCTTGATAAAACCTCTATCTCAATACTTCTAATAAGCTATTAATCTCAAAAGTTTAAAAATAAGAGCCTTGTCTACTATAGACTATTATATACAGATTCTAAAATAGATAGATATAGAATACGCCTAATGAATGAGGCACGAAAAACAATTTTATAGTAAAAGAAAGACGATTTAGACATAAGAATGATTTTCACAAAAAAAATGTAAAAAATTCTTTTATCACTAAATATTGGAAAAACGTTAAGTGGTAAGGATGAAAAGAAAAGAAATGGGGGTAGAGTATGAATATTGAGAAGAAGGATCGTTCAATGAGAGAGAGAGCTCTTAAAAACAATACTCTTATACTTCAACCAAATGAATAAGGACGTGAATGTTCCTATTAAAATAGGAACTTCACCAAATGTTTAAGGCATGAATGTTCCTTTATATAGGAAACAAAAAGAGCTGTCACCTTTTGGAAAGAGATCAGAATATCTTCTTTCCTAATTTTTTGAAGATGTTAAAAATCTTTGTTACCAAAAATTGTTTTCTCCCTTTTTGGTAAGAGAATGAAACCTGATTTTCACTTCCCTTTAGAAAAGATCTTCGACAGCATTTATTTTGAGGAGAATTTGCGGAAAGATGCACTTACCAAAAGCGAAGGAGATTTTCCTTCATTTTTAAGGTAAGAGAATAATTTTAAAGCACTTTAGATCTTTCAAAATATATTTCCGAAAAGGTGAATGATTTTATTACCTATATTACCAAAAACATTAAGAGAAAAATCCTCTTTAGTTTTTAGGAAAATAAAAATTCTTTTTTCGTAATTTAGAAGGAAATTTGCGGGAGAATAAAATTATTTTTGAAGAAAACAACTTTTACCGACAAATATCTTTTGCAGAAAGAAAAAGGTTTTATGTATGGTCAGATAGCTATGGATTTTCTCTCTATCTTACATTTAAGTTTTCCTAAAGTCCTAAAGTAGCTACTAGGTCTCCGAAAATCTTCATGCTCAAAGTAAGGGATTTGCCCTTGTTGATATTGCTTTCCAAAAATTCTGCATAAAATAAAATTAGCACAAACTAAACATACTTTTAAATTTTAATTTGTTTTGTATTAATCAATCAAAATCGCCTCTGCATAAAATAAAATTAGCACAAATAACATACTTTAAATTTATTTGTTTTGTATTAATCATCAAAATCCGAGATTTGACCCTTGAGCCAACAGTTCGTTTAACCGAAATCGAACTAATCAGATGCAAATTTTAAATAATTCATGAATAGCTTAAAGTTCATTTACGGCTTTAATGAGAGGGCATCTACTAATAGGACCAAACGTTCTCTCAAGGCAACTCCTGGTCAAGTTGGCTGTATGGGCGCCATTTGTGCTGCATGCTCTGTTTCCTCGTGCCACGTTTCTCCTAGCAATGCTACGTGCTATCAGAAGAACTCATCTGTAGCAAGATTAAAGTCCGCTCTTCCTAATGTCGTCACCTTCATCTATAAAGCAGTAAATCCTCCATAAAACCACAAGAGAAGAACTCAGAGATGAATCAGGCAATCAAATCAATAAGAACTTATCAAACAATACCTGCTGGTTTCTTATATCCTTCAAATCAATTAGGTCAAAAAACTTCAGTGCTCAGATTCAAGCAGGTCACAACTGCGTCGAGTAATCCTGAGAATCCACACGACATGGATAAGGCTCAGAGCCCAAATGAGAAATCCAAAGAAGCAATAGAACATGGGTTAGTTCCTTGATTGGCAATAGCTTTTAACATAGCATTTAAAGTTAAAATTTAGTGTTTTAACTATGAAGTTAAAAACATTATTTCATATTATTTCTATGGTGTAGCATAAAAAGAAAGTTTTTGAATTTGATTGGGTGGATTATGAAATGTTAGTCTTTATCATGTTTCATCTTTATTATGTTCATTTTTTAATAAAATGCCGGTAAAACAGCTGATTATAGTTAATTTTACCGGACATAGTCTTTTTTTGTTTGAATTGATTAATTATCGCAATTAACTTCTTTTTTTGTTTGTTTTGTTTTCGTGCTTGCGTGTACACAAGGGATGTAATGTCCCATTCATTTGGACAAGCGTATGCCACGAGATCTGATGAAGAAGGATTTGGTGGAATTTATGGAGGAAATCAATCATGTGATAACGATGATGATAATAATGGCAAGAAAATCCATGAGAATCACCCCGGTACCTACATTTATTTTATATGATCTCAGCAACTGTCGTCTTCTTTATTTGCTTTCATTATTTGTTATTGTGAATTGGTGCCAGTCTTTTACATTTTTTTTGTTTTGTCTATTTGGGAATGTATGAAGATTATGACAGGAGCCAGGGAAGTGAAGTGAAGGAGAAGGAAAAAGGACGAAACTCGACCAAATGCTAAGTCCTAATGCATAGTTTAAAAATCAAATTTATGCATTAAGGAGTTGTTATTACCTTTTTTTTTTTTTTGTGTGTGTGCCTAATAAATCTATGTCAAGAATCATGACTTCAACGCCAGCAAATGATGCTTTTGTTCTTTGTTTGAAGGTTGGGTATGATTTTTCATACATTGTTGATATTCTATGGAAGGGTTTTATTTTGAAATCTTTGCTTTATGGCTTGATTGAGGAATGTATACATTTGCATCTAATAGGTTGTACTTCGTTAATTCTCTCAACATTAATCGAGTAGAAAGGCAGGATGTTTCTTTTTTTATATATAGACTTCAGTACGTCGGTTTGGTCTTCAACATTAAACCAGTTAGTTTGGTATATCATTCAGTTAAATGATTTGAAATTAAAAATTAAGTATTCTGCTGTGTCAACTGAACAACTGAAGTCGAACTAAAAATCGAATGATCAAACTAAAAATCCAAATAGTTTCGATTTTGGCCTTTATTTTTTGAATATTTAACATTTATAAAAATATTTTGTTAGTAGTATATATTTTGCTTTGTGAAAGTAAATTAAGTTAATTTATTTGGTTGTGACTAAAAAATCAAATAATACAAATAAAACATGCAAAATAATATTACATGACCACGGAGCATAAATATTTTAAATATTTTAAATGAAAAAGTTTCATATCTCATTTCAGAAAAATCCCAATCAGAGGATTCAAAATTACCATTCAATATTTGTATTCATACTCAAATGGTGCTTATGGAATGAGCCAGCTTTTAAGATTAGATTAGTGATATTTATTAGTGTGGAGTGAAACAATTACATCATTATTCATTTTGTTCATGATCTATAATTCACGACTCAATTATAAAGAAATCACACTATAATTCATGGTTTATGGGTTGAGTGCGTATAGATATAATCCAGATGAGTCGATAGAGTCCTAGTCGAGCACTCTTTTTTCTCCTACCCTTTCACAGCTTTCATCATCTTTAGGCTTATCTGACTTAACATCCTAATCTATATGTATACTATATATAAAGGTAGAATGAGGGAGAATAATGTGATTATCTGTAATAATCTTAGTGAAAGTTTAAAAATTCTAAAATATTGTTAGTTATTGAATAATTGATAACAATTTGAGCTTATTAAATACTTGAGTTTTTAATAATTGACCAATTATAATTTTTTAATACTTTTTATTAATTGATTAAAAAAAGTATATTATTATATTATTTTAATTTTTTTAAAAGGTAATATTATTTTTTTAATATATTATTCTAATTGAATTTTCAATCATTTATTATTTACGATATTAATTATTTTAAAAAATAGATTATTATTTTAATTTATAATAACTCTTTTATTAAGTTGTTAAAAAAGTATATTATTATCATTATTTTAATTTTTTAAACGGTAATATTATTATTTTTAATATATTATTCTAATATGAATTTTCAATCATATTCCATAATTACCCGATAATTAAATATTTTAAAATAGAGTATTATTTTAATTATATATAATTGATATAATAAATTTAGTATATATAACAATAAATAATATATATACGTATATAAGTTTTCGTTTCACATGTGTTAAATATATTTACCACTTTTATTTGTTTCACATGTTTTATATATATCACTTTTAAAATTTTGAATTTTTTCTCTTATTTGTATATTTATTTATATCTAGATTTTTCATGAACTCAAATCAATATTCAATAATATGGGATCATACTATTTAATTTTTTTAAAGAAATCGATGCTAATTTAAAGTTTAACCTTATCATTTTTTTAAAAAATTGAAGTCTAATCTTATAATTAATAATAATCTTTTCATTTTATTATCTATAATTATTTTATTAAATATATTTGACTTTTAATGTTGTCCCATCATATTAAAATTAGTTTAAGAAAAACATTGTTCGCTTATAGTATGAATATTATTAATAATATCTAAACATTATATAAATATCTAGAGAATATAAGAGAAAATTTATAATCATACTTAATATTATATAAAAATAAATTAATGAGTATAAACAATGAGTAACTAAAGAGTAGAATATTAATGAGAGTTAAAGACAAAGAGTCAATCGCGAGCAAACACACATGACAAGCATTCAACAAAAAAAATATATTATGATGGAATTGTAAAAAATAGAGAAGATGTCACGACTTAATCACAAATTAATAGTCATAAATAATGGTTCTCATGCAAATATTGGGTTCAGTGTAGAGAGAGCATTGTCAAACGTGGTAAGCAAGAATAGAGCGAGATGATTTTATGGAACACAATCTGTAAAGTACAGAGAGGTGTTTAGTAGTTTCACAAATCTTTAATACAAGATATATTCTATAGGTTACCACTCTACAAATTCATAATTATATGTCATTGAATTTAATTCAATATATAATATAAAATACATATAGACTTAAAACGCGTGGAAATGGTGAATAAAATAGTTATTGTACAAAACTTAATGGTCCAATAGTATTAAGTAACAGAGATAATCCATTATAGTCCTGCTATAATCAGTTTAATGAGTCTTAACACAATAATTAAATATTAACGAAATAACATAGTCTTTAAAATTAAAGTTAAAGAAAGTACTATAATGACATATAATAAAAAGAGGAGGGAATATATATGAACAGAAGATTATTATACTCAAATGTGTTATTTATCATTTCCTAAGAGCTGGGATTAAAAAAGTAAATATAACAAGGATAAAAAGTCACAATGATAATCATAACGGATGATAATATTAATTATACATATATATATATATTATATAATAAATAGCTATATAAGGGAGAGATACCTTATATTAATTAGAGAGCGTGTAATTGGAGTGAGAAAAATGTGAGGGCTGTTGCTTTTTATGGGACAAAGTAAAAATACTCATTCTATATAATACAGAGAAATGTCTAATTAACAGTGTGAAGACGAAAAACGAAGAATGAATAATGACAATATTACAAGTTATATCACTAATCATATGCAGGAATCAAATGCTGTGAACATCATTTTTTTTAAATATATTATTAAAAATTGAACTTTTCTTTTTATACAAGTATAATCTCAAATTTTTACGAAAATTGTCTATTAAAGTGGGACGAAAACGAGAATGAGAAATGACAATATTACAAGTCTTACTATCATTTGCAGGAATAATGTGTGCACATTTTTTTATGCAGGTCACACCATGCATGAATTTTGCTATTGCATACCTTGTGAAAGACTTTGCAGAATACTCTTTTTTGATAAGTGACTTTGCAGGATATTTAACAAGGCAAATCTTAACATTGTAACATTTTTCAGCATATCTCAATGAGATATAATTTTATAATGCATTTCACGATAATTATATTATACAATTTTGTTATTTTTGAATGATGTTATGAAAGATTATTTCATTTGGAGATGGAAGTGAGACCGGTATTTTAGAGTACTAACTCCGCTCCGATCTGTTTAATTAAGGTACAGATAGTTATAAAATGCGTGTTACACGGATAAGGCTAGAGAAATTACTATCCACAACAGATACGAGTAAAGTAAGGGTATTAGACTCTGGGTACCCACTATAATAAATAGTTTTGGCCGTAGGTACCCGCAGGTACACTATCCATTTATTAGTAAAAAATACATTTTAAATAAGTTTGGGTTTAGATAGTTTAAAATGTGCGGATACCCTATCCGTTTAAGGGGTACTTTAAATAGGTATGAGATTGATACGGGTAATAAAATTTTAAATGGGTTCGGATAGTGGTACTTAAATGGATATTTAAACGGGTAGTAAAATTTTTAATGGGGACAGTTACGGGCAGTTTAAAGTTCGTGAATACCTACCCCGCTACAATCCACAATTTCATTCTTTAATATTGCTCCGCATATGGTGCTGGTTCTAACACTAGTTACAAGTAAAAATAAAAAAGAAAAGAACCTTATAATATTTACATTAATTTAGAGTAAACAATAATTAAAGAAAACAATGATAAACAAATTAATGTACACACAATTAAAAACTATCAATAAAAATAAAAATGGATTTCATATATGCTAAAAAGAAATCAACACAAACAAAATCTTTTACCAGAGAATCGCCAGAGAAAGCAGGATTGAAGCGAGCAACATCAGAAATATCCAAGCTGGGGACAAGGTCTAGGGCTAAAAAAGCGCTGAGCTTAGATATCTTTGGCTGGATTATAGAAATTTGAAGAGACCTAATTAAAATCCTAATACATAAGATAAAGAAAGAGCTACTTAAATAGACAATACTCGATGGAGATGTGTGTGAAACAGATGGTTATTAGGTTAGATGACATGAGGTTTAGGTGCTGTCAAAATTTGGCTAATTATCGTGATGTGTCGATATAGAGTGCATATGGTTAATTAGATCAATTACTATATTCAGCTGGTCAAACACAAAAGGAAAATATAGATATACATTGGTCTATATTTGGAGTTTAAAAAAAAAGGTATGCATTTGTCTAAAAATTAAATGGAAAATTTTGGTATAACTATTTAAAATTAAGAATCCAACACAATTTAATATCCTTAGCTTACAGTTACTAATGTAATTCTATTGAGATTGGAAGTAAGAAATTATACGAAAAACTATTTGTTTTGCACAAAAATGATGAGTAATTGTTCAATAACTTGTGGTTTTGGTTGACTATTTTAAACTAAAGTACTTGTTTGCCAAATTTTCAATTTTTTTTTAGGAAAAACATAGAATTTTCATACAACTAAAAATGCCAAGTCAGCTTGAACAAAACATAAAATAGAGGGTGGAATATCTTCAACCCAAATGAGCTCCTCAAACCTATAGGAGAGAGCTTCCTTTGCTAAACTATGAGCGACACCATTACCTGCTCGATAAATATGGGACAAAGAACATGAGGAAAATAAACTTATAGAGTCTTTAAGAATTAGCAATCTATTGGCTAATTCAAAAAAAGGGACTGTGGGATATTTCATCTTTTAGATCAAAGATACGCAATCTGACTCCAAAATGACGTGTTGAAAGCCTAAGTCAAGAGTTGCATTTGCTGCGAGGATTGCAGCCTCAACCTTAGCTTCTTCTAGTGCTAAAGAACCTTGAAAGCTCTTCAAACTTGATGCCACTATTTCATGATTATCATTCCTGATTAACATCTCCAGCCCTCATTTACCATCCCAAGAGACAGCAGCATCACATTTTATTTTTTACTAAACCAGTTGTAGGGGGCTTCCAACTCGCATTGCCAGC